GCTTTTTGGCTGGAGACTCATCCCACCTTTTCTCGGTGACCTTCCAAATGGTGGAGTGGAGAAAAGACATGAGTCCTGCCCCAGATTTCATCGACAATTGTGCATGAAGGTGAAGGAACTAACACAGATCTCTTAGTGGCCTCCTGCAGAATTGGATGCTTCTAGAATCATCTAAAAGCTGCAGGATCTGCCCTTATTTGGACAAACACGATCTGATCAGCCATAATCTGCAAGGTGTGTGGGTTGCTTCTGACTAAAACCAGCCCTGGGTCCCTGCAGCCTGATCAGAGAGCCTCGAGGATGGAGCCAGTAGCACTGAGCTCACACATGGTGTCTCCCGGGCCCAAACCAGGTCACCCAGCCCGACCAGCGAGGCTCAGGGGTTGAGTGTCGACCTGTGAACCAGGAGAGGCTGTGGTTCGATTCCCCATCAGGGCACATGCCCAGGTTGTGGACTTGATCCCGGGTAGGGGGCGTGCAGGAGGCAGCCGATCCATAATGCTCTCTCATCATCACCATCTCTCTCACTCTCTCATTCTCTCTCTCTCTCTTCCTCTCCAACATCAATAAAACATATTAAAAATAAATAAATCAGGTCACCTTCATGGGAACCACAGAGCCAGACCAGGCCCAGGCGTGGCTGGCAGGTGTGTCTGCAGAGCTGTGGGGCGTGAGGTACGGGGACAATTGTCCAGGATGTTGCTCCACGTGTCCTGGAACTCACCGCAGGGAGAGGTCAGGGTCTGAGTTTGCTCGCTAAGCTGGGGCCTCCCAGAAGGCCGCCCAGGGAGCAGTGCAGGGGGGTCAGGGGCCTGGGTCGGCAGAGGGACCCACGGGAAGATGCCCCCCTGCTTGCCTGAGGAACTGGCAGCTCTGCAGACAGCAGAGACGCGGGGAGGTTTTCAAAGAGAAGGGTTGTGCATTGTTGCGGTTGCCTTGATACAGTCAAGAGAGCCTTTCTCATGGGGAAGTTAGGAGGCGATGAGATCAGGTGGCCCTCACCAGTTTGGTTCAGTGGATAGAGCCTCGGCCTGTGGACTGAAGGGTCCCCAGGTGGATTCCCGGTCAGGGCACATGCCTGGATGACGGGCTGCAGGAGGCAGCTGAGTCTCTCTCACCATTGATGTCCCTGTCTCTCTCTCTCCCTCTCCCTCTCCTTTCCTCTCTGAAATCAGTAAGAATATATTTTAAAATGTGTATAAAAGAGACAAGGTAGGTGAGAGTAGTTTCAGTTGAATGCAGCCAAACACAGTTTTTTACTCCAGCAGAGTCCTGGGCAGAGGAGGCACCTGATAAATATTAGGTGTTTATTTTGTTGTTGTAGTTTTTTAACCTAAGATCCTACTTATTTTTACATAGTGCCTCCCCGTGGAACAATTACAATTATGTCCGTTTTTCAGCAGATTATTTCTTATGGGGTCATAGCTAAGAAAAATGTGTGAGGGGGGAAATTACCCTCACTAATAATGAAATAAGTAAAACTTCCACACAAAAAATGTGGCCTATCAGGTTAACAGTGCTTTAAAAAAAAAATCTGTGTAAAAATGAGTTCTGTAACAGAAATTTCCATATTATGTCGGAATTATTAATTGGCATGGACCTTCTGAATGCAAAGTTGGCAATGTGTATTAAGAGCCTTGAAAATGATTTTACCTTGTGGTTTAGTATTTCTACTTCTAGGATTCTACCCAAAGGAAGTAATTCAATATTAAAACATAGATTTATGTACAAAGATGTGTGATTTGTATGATCTATAACGCATAAAGATGGAACTCAATCTAAACAGCCAATAACAGAAGACGAATTACACAAATAGCAACATCTATAAAAATTGTGTTTCTAAGCATATTTCCTAGAAAATTGTATGTATGCATGTATATATAGCACAATACTTATATTTGCTTTATATATTTCTCTTTTCACAAATTTCTACAATGGCACATTTAATATTTTTATACTCAGAGGAAAAAAATAATGTTTGAAGCCAGGTTCTTAATTATTCTTCCACAATTGTTAGAAATATGCCTTTATTTTCTAGTATCTCTCATTTTCATTGGCTAGTGAGATGTCACAGTGTCCAGCAGTAACCAGTGATGGGGAAAGACGTGTCTAAAGCCCATTTGCTCCTCCTGTAAAAAGGAAGAGATTGGTTAATTCACTTCTATAATCATCAGATACCTGATATTGTACTAGACTCTGAGAATAGCGGTCATAATGGTGATGGGCAATTCACTGGGGTTTGTTCTGTGCCAGGCACTGTTCTAGGCACTTTGAAGATCCACCAGTCCATTTAACCTGCGACAACCTCCCATCATTCTCTCTGATTTGGGGGATGAGGAGAGGAGGGCGAGAAGAGGTAGAGTTTCCCAGGGGACACAGCTATTGGATGTTAACCCACAACCCCTAGCACCTGAGTCTATGTACACTCTTAAAGGACAAATATGATCTAATCAGTGTCCTGTATTTACATTTAAGCTGTCTTTTTAAAAATCTATTTATTTTTTAAAATATTTTTTTATTGATTTCAGAGAGGAAGGGAAAGGGAGATAGAAACATCAATGAGAGAATCATTGATGACCTGCCTCCTGCATGCCCCCTACTGGGGATCGAGCCCACAACCTGGGAATGTGCCCTTGACTGGAACAGAACCCGGGACCCTTCAGTCCGAGACCTCCTTGTTCATAGGTCAGCATCCACCCTCTGGGCCAGCTCAGACCCTATTGGGTGGCAGCTAGACAATCAAAGGCAATAAAGTGGAAACAGATAGAACCCGGGACCCTTCAGTCCAAGACCTCCTTGTTCATAGGTCAGCGTCCACCCTCTGGGCCAGTTCAGACCCTATTGGGTGACAGCTAGACAATCAAAGGCAATAAAGTGGAAACAGGACAAATATGATCTAATCAGTGTCCTGTATTTACATTTAAGCTGTCTTTTTAAAATCTATTTATTTTTTAAAATATTTTTTTATTGATTTCAGAGAGGAAGGGAAAGGGAGATAGAAACATCAATGAGAGAATTATTGATGACCTGCCTCCTGCATGCCCCCTACTGGGGATCGAGCCCACAACCTGGGAATGTGCCCTTGACTGGGATAGAACCCGGGACCCTTCAGTCCAAGACCTCCTTGTTCATAGGTCAGCGTCCACCCTCTGGGCCAGTTCAGACCCTATTGGGTGACAGCTAGACAATCAAAGGCAATAAAGTGGAAACTGTGTGGCAGTTACCCAGAACCACGGGAGGGGCTGGTCATGGAACCCCCCCGGGAGGCCGGGGACAAGCAGATGCCTGCAGGGTGAGGAGAAGCTTTCAAGGCAGGAAGGAGGGAGCAGGGAACCGAGCACAGAGGCCCAGCATATGTGGGAGGCAGGAGATGGAAAAGCAGGGTGTGGGCAAATCTGGCTGCAGTACAAGAGAGAGAGGAACTAGAAGAAGAAAAGAAGAGGGAGCAGGGGAACCGAGCACAGAGGCCCAGCATATTTGGGAGGCAGGAGACGGAAAAGCAGGGTGTGGGCAAATCTGGCTGCAGAACAAGAGAGAGAGGAACTAGAAGAAGAAAAGAAGAAGAGAAAATAACAAAAAATAAATAAAAAAGACGGGGGAAGAGAGAGAGAGAGAGAGAGAGAGACGAACGAGGCCACAGGCAGTGCGCTGGGCCAGGCCCCGTCTCACTGTGGGTCAGGTATTTGGAAAATCTTAAAAGCAAGTTCAGGCCCATCCCAGAGCCTACACTTGCTCGCGGTGGAGCAATGCTGCACAGCCACTGCGCCAGCACCATCTGTTTCTGGTCTGTGTTTCACAGCTGCTATCTCATTCCACCCTCACCCCATCTTCGCCAGTCGGTAATTATTACCACCCGGCAGGCTCAGAACGGTGCGGTTGTCATAGTAACTCCAACATTTAGCTAATTGTTAACACATCCTGTGCTGCAAACAGATGTGAAAGCAATAGCTTGGTTTCACCCAACAATGTTAACAAGATAATTTACAGCCCCAACTGGTGTGGCTCAGTAGATATTGCATCAGCCCGTGGACCGAAAGGGTCTGGGTTCGATTCCAGTCAAGGGCATGTACCTCGGTTGCAGGCTCCTCCCCAGCCCGGGCCCTGGTTACACATCAATGTCTCTCTCTGTCTTTCCCTCTATTCCACTCTCCCTAAAAATCAATGGAAAACATATCCTGAGGTGAGGATTAAATAATTTGGTTTCATAAAGGGAGTGATCATGTGGACTTCAGTCTCTCTCACATTTAGTCATCTGTATATTAGAGTAGGAGGGCAGTCACACATAAGAAATATTTGAAATCCGAATTGTCTCCAAGTATTTAATTGGCTTTTCTCAATGAGAAGAATCAGTTTCAAAGATTAGTTCGATTCCGTTCAGTGAAATCAGTGTTTCTTAAAAATGATTTGCAGCTCGACAAGGGCACAACGTGTGAAAGTCACCGAGTTCTCGTTTCCCTCTTCCTGTGAGTGTTTTGTGTTTGCCTTTCATCCAGCTCCAGAACAAAACTCAGAATATAGCAGTGAGCTCATGTAATAAGTTCAGTTCCAAAGTATACTTACCTTATCGGCATAAATAAGACAATACACATTTTACTGAATTCACTGTATTAACAAAGAGTAAGAAATTCCTACTGTGGATGAAAAAAGGGGCCACGTGCTAACCTGACTACCTCCGGGAAGGCCTGCGTGGAGGCCTTGCCAACTCCAGAGACCTGAAGTGACCACAAAGGAGGGTCTGAAATTAAAAACCGATAATTAAAAAGCAGCTTATGATGGGTAGTCATGTCCCAGGCCAGTGCCCTCCCTGACAAAGACCAACTTCCGTCTTTCCTGAGCCCGTTGTCCTTTTGCATCTAAGGTAACACACCTTGGGAAAGTCAGGGTAACTAGTAACTTCCCTTTTCCTCACCCCTCAGGGCACAGCTAGCCACCAGGGCGGAGACCACAGGTTCCCTCACTGTGACTGTTATCGAGTTAGCTGCTGACTGTTAACTACCCTGCACCCACCTGCGTAAAGGCAGCCTGTGCCCATCATTTCACTTTTACCCGATCCCAGGGTCCCCCCACCTCCCTCATCATCACCAATAGATTTCATGTGACCCGCTTATGGCTCTGCCTTTGACGGTGATTTATTAAACACGGTGAAAACCGCCATCTCCAGAGCACTGTCCCCACGCACTGAGAACCTGCTTCCCTGCAAGTGTCTCCAGTTTGGCTCAAATAAACCCCAAAATTCTTCACAGGTCGGGATGATTTTTACGTTAACACAGTCATGTGAACACAGTGTGGCTGCGCCAGAAGGAGGGAGTGATCATATGAATGAGGGGGCTACCCACATGAACGGGGGCCATGGCCCATGAACAAGAATTTTACTAATTTTAAGAATGTCACTAATGCTGTGGCCCCGCCCCATCACAAAGAAACAATTTCCGGAGGCTGAGGCCCAGAAATCAGGATTTAAAAAAGATTCCCAGGTGATTCTAATGTGCAGCCGAGGTTGAGAACCACTGCTCTAGTCCTATTTATAATGATTTTCCTTCTCTCTCCTAACCTGGGAGGACATGACAGCACAGGAATTGAGAGCGATGGAGGCACGCACTTTGGAGGCGCTAGACACTGGAACTTGAAGCAATCAGTGGGGTTTATGGGGCCTCGGCCAGGGCCTTGCACATGCGTTTCCACGCTAACGAGGCCAGGTGACACCATTCCCGAGGCAGCTGTGAGGAGACAGCTGCTTTCAAACGGAGACCCCGGCCTAGTGCCAAATCGATCTTGGAAAAAAAAACACAGGATCCTTCTAAATCACACAGCATTTTATCCTAAATTGTAAAAGCCTGTTTTTGTAATTGTAAATCTCATTTCCTGTAAACATTTCCATGTTTTTTCAAAGTACTTGTGATTTAGTTAGTTACATTGTTCATTTTTCTTATGTTTTGACTTTTAGGTAGACAGGAAGAGGAAGTGAAAAATATCAGGGAGAAAGACACACATCGGCTGCCTGCTGCAGATCAAGGCCACAACCCAGGCATGTGCCCCGATCAGGAATCGAACCCGGGACCTCTTGGTCCATAGGCGCTCAATCCACTGAACTACACCAGCCGGACACCCCCCATGTTCCTAACAGAAAGCACCACTTACCCCAAAGTGGGGAGACCGCATGCTAGATTTGGAAAAAAAGTGAGTTACTTTGCGCTGAAGTCTTGGCCGGGAGCAAAGATCACACGTACATAAGGGCGGGTCCCATCTCCCAGCCCACAGCCCGTTTGTGGTTGGACCTGTAGGACCTGTCTTAACCAACTTTCAGGGCTTTGCCCCAACTCGACCACGCAGTTTTTCAAGTCTGACTACAGCGCTCTTCAGAAAATGTGGGTGGCTCTGAAAAGAGCCTTTGGGTCAGGAGTCAGGCCGCGGGCTCGCGCCTACTTGGAGCTGGTGTACTTGGTGACGGCCTTGGTGCCCTCGGACACGGCGTGCTTGGCCAGCTCGCCGGGCAGCAGCAGGCGCACGGCCGTCTGGATCTCGCGGGACGTGATGGTCGAGCGCTTGTTGTAATGCGCCAGGCGCGACGCCTCGCCCGCGATGCGCTCGAAGATGTCGTTGACGAACGAGTTCATGATGCCCATGGCCTTGGACGAGATGCCGGTGTCGGGGTGCACCTGCTTGAGCACCTTGTACACGTACACCGAGTAGCTCTCCTTGCGGCTGCGCTTGCGCTTCTTGCCGTCCTTCTTCTGCGCCTTGGTCACGGCCTTCTTGGAGCCCTTCTTCGGGGCGGGCGCCGACTTGGCTGGCTCCGGCATTCTGAAACCTCAGGAGACTTGGAGGAAAATGCGGCTGGAGTGGAACCTCCGCTACTTATAGGGACTTTATGCTAATGAGGGATTCAGAGAGTCTCTTAGTTCATTGGCAGAGATACGCCAAGGCTGTCCTCCTTGGGCGGGCCTATGCAAATGAGGTATGGAAATTGTAAGGTCCTATTGGTTATGTGACTGAGTCTGTTCCTAGCTAATCAGACACCTCGATTTGCTCCCAGGACCTGCCTATAAAAACGGCCATGTTCCACTTACTCCCAGAACTGGTCTGCTCGGGCGAGTGTCCACCTTTCTTTTTGCAAAGACCTTTTTTCATTTTTCAATGTCGGGACGCGGCAAGCAGGGCGGCAAGGCG